ACATTCTGCCCATGGGCAAGTTTAGTTTAGCTTATGTAAAAATCCTTTCAGAAATACTGGGACCAATATTTGCAAGTCAGATGATTTCACATAAAAATGATCTCCAAAACAAGGAAGTTCTGGAAGCATAGAGACTGTATCCGCCTGAGGCAAGAGTGTTGGCTGATCCTACCGGGCCTCCCTGGACTGGGTTGTCTGTGCCAGGTTCCCACTTTCCCAGCTGGCCACCTGCACTACCTATGCTACCTGCTCCTGTATACACTTGAGCTTGTGACCACTGGTGCGGAGCCATACTTCTCCAATGCCTTGGGTGAAGGACTAGTTTCCTAAATGTCCCATCTGTTGTCTACCAACACTTTCATAAAACACCATCAAAATGAATTACTGGAAAAAGGCAATATTTAAAGAGGCATGCAAAATACAAGCCTCATTTTTTATTTTAACCAGCAGACACAAAGTTATTCTGGCAGGTTGCTCCATAAGTGTATCGATGCTTATTTGCAGTTGCTGTGCTTGGCTAACCCTGGCCTAGTAGCCAACAGTTCCCAGACGGGTCAGAAAACCTCACTGGGCAACACTGGCCTAGAAGATGGCTCAGGGACCTCTCAAATCTAAAAGGCTGCCACCCCGCCTGGGACTTTCTGCATTGTGCACCAATTAACTTCAAGGCTGTCAAAATGAGCAAGGATACACCAATGTCCTGGGCATGAACAGACACGAACAGGCTTGTAACTCACCTTACTTTCCCCTGGCCTTTTCCCACAATATAATTAGCTGAATTCCTTGGAACCTGATATATTTTTGGCATTTACCTTAAAGCACATACTTATCTCCCTCAAAACACAAACCTCCCACACCCGGCCTTCCAACTTCAGAGGAAAAAGGCCGAAGCTCCAGCTGACTGTCACCCGGATTCTGCCCGAATGCATCTGGCTTGGGTACAGCTCACCCCAAGTCACTGCAAAGGAAGCCGCCTGAGCCACGCGGCAGGATAGTCCTGCCCGAGGAATGCTTACGGGAAGAGCAAAAGGTTAGAATTTGAAATTGGGCACGAAGTCTGCAACAAGGTGAAATGTAATTGCTCCCCCTCACTCCTCCCCCCAAACAAATACTTTGTGTATGATTTTGATTCTCAAAATACTCAGAAAAACACAGCATAAAGTGCTTTCGCTTCTTCTTCATCCCTAATAACAACTTCATGTGCCCTACAGAAACAGACCATGTAATTTATATTCAGGAAAATCAAAACCTGTAATCTGGTATTCTGTGTAAAGATTTTCCCCCCCTTTGCACGTGCTCAAAAACATTTAGAAAGAAAACAAATCTGCATGTGAAAACAAAGCCTTTAAAGTGAATGACTGTTCCAGAATCATCAAACTAAGAGAATTCCACAAAAGTAATCATTTCCCTTTCTGTTCCTTGGCTGATGGAAGCGAGCATGTGGGGGCACCTTAAATAAAGGGTTGAGGAAGGAAGAAAATCTTCCCCTTCAAAGGGTCCTGCCCCGAAGGAGGTGGATATTTTTCTTTGCATTATCATCTACAGTAACTTTTATCTATAAATCCTCAGCAAGAAATGTCCAGAACAGCCACACTTCATAAGCTTTGCTGAGTTTGAGACATCTACATAGCAACGGTCTCACGATGGGGAAACGTTAATGCTTTTTATATTGGTGATCAGCTGTAACATGAGCAATTAAGTACAGTACTAATGGACTATGGCCAGGAGCCTGGTACTAATATTAAAAACTGACAGAGATGAATAGGTTTGGAAGCAAAAGCAGGCTAACAAAGACATTTTTATGAAGTGCTTGGACCCATTTGATTTAAGCCAATCAGAGGCAAGTGTGGACGCGTCAGGCCTTCAGCAACAATGATGCATTCACAGGCATTGTACCGTTCCTACTATGCCTTAAATAAAAACACCTATTGATTCTTTTCAACAACTCGCACTTTCATTATTACACTCATTAATAAACCAAAAGTGCACAACTAATACACAAGCAACATTTACTGAGGAACCGGCTATTTTTTTTTTTCCCTCTTCTTGTTGGAAAATGAAAACATTTACGGGAAACGTGAGCCACACCGCATGAAAAATAAATCAGTGGATAATGCATAGGAGATCACTCATTTCTTCTTCATCTTCTAGGACAGTGATCGGCAAACTTCGGCCCCTTGAGTGTGGCTCTTCCACAAAATACCACGTGCGGGCGCACACGTACAGTGCAATTGAAACTTCGTGGCCACACTCAAGGGGCCAAAGAGCCGCATGTGGTTCGAGAGCTGCAGTTCGCCGACCACTGTTCTAGGATAATAAAGCTGGGGGTAGGGAAACAGGAAAAGGACCAAGTGTCTATACCAGCGTAAAAGGAATGAGAGACCAGAGGAACCAGCGACAGAGGAAAACACCCCTCAGGCTTTGATCTGATTTGAAAGGACTTACAAATTTCCAAAAACATCTTCTGCTAGACGTTTGCCCACAACATCCTGACTCTTTCCAATCCCTTGAACCCTTTTTGAAAATGGTGGTCCTTCACCAATCTAGTCACCTGTTTTAATTGTGTTAGTATAGCCTGTGACTAGCAAGAATGAATGAAATAGGCCTTGGTCACTAAGTACAGTTTTAGCCAAGAGCTTTTTTGCCCAAAGCAGAACTTTTTCAGGCCCCTGGACAGATTGGAGTGTCCTCTGCCCTTCTCTGCTGAAACCATTAAAGGGAAGTAAGCCATTGAGATCAGTAGTTCCTAAACTTTCCTCCTACGTACGCAGGAGCATGGCTGACTCCTTTAAAATAATGATGGGTTCAAATGAGGGAGAGTGGCATTATTTTACATAGAGTCTGATTTTTAAATTTTATTTATTTTTTAAAAAATATATTTTTTTCATTGATTTCAGAGAGGAAGGAAAAGGGAGATAGAAACATCAATGATGAGAGAGAATCATTGATTGGCTGCTTCCTGCACGCCCCCCTGCTGGGGATCTAGCCCACAACCTAGGCATGTGCTCTGACCGGGAATGGCACTGTAAATTCCTGGTTCATAGGTCAACTCTCAACCACTGAACCACACGGGCCGGGCTGATTTATATTTTTTTAAATCAATCATCTGCAAATTTGGGCATTTGTACTAATTACTAATTACTCAAGACACCTTGTATCTGATCACCACAATGTGAGGGGCCTAGATGGCAAAGGGAAATGCCAAGGCAGGGTTCAACACCTTGCTAATCACCTGGGGCCAGCTGTGCTCTACCCTGGGATTCCCACTTAGCAGTGGGATTAATGTCTCATCGCCAATTCCACCCTCTGTGCTCTGTTTGGTGATGCTGGGACTGGGGCTCTGTAAATTACGTCTCATTTGTCAGCTCTCTTCTCACTGGGGTTCTGCAAATGGGGCCCTACCAGGTCAGGGGAGGAGGGACCTCTTTCTTTGTATTTTGCTTGCTGTTCATTTCAGTGCCAACCCAACAGTAACTTAGCAGCAGCAGTTGGTTTCAGCCTCTAGCTTCTTTCAATGCCTTTCCTCTGAGGCGGAGCACCCTCCAGGGAGCACAGCCTCCTAGGTCTGAGCCCAGCTCCGCAGGCTCCTCCTCTGAAGCACCAGCACAGGTTGGGTGCCTCTCTCCAGAAGGGATCTGAACCCCAGATCTGTGAGGCCCACTCTCTGAACATCTGGATGGCAACACCTCTTTTCTCTATTCTCCCAGCCCTAAGAAAACTGGTTATTACCTTCGGATTAATGTAGTGTTTCACGCCAACACTTGTTTAAGCAACCCCAATAGTAAATTTTCTTTGTTGAATACCTGGTGTGGTTTCTGTGTTTTCTTTACTGGTAGACAAATTCATAATTCAAATTCAAAGACAAAACTTTTTTAGAAAATGTAATCCAGCCTGACGGTGTGGCTCAGCTGTTGAGCATCGACCCATGAACCAGGAGGGCAGAGTTCAATTCCCGGTCAGGGCACATGCCTGGTTTGCGGGCTCAATCCCCCATGTGGGGCATGTAGAAGGCAGCCGATCAATGGTCCTCTCTCATCCTTGATGTTTCTATCTCCCTCTCCCTCTCCCTTCCTCTCTCTGAAATCAATAAAAACATATTTTTAAAAAATGTAATCCAGTGGGGAACCAAACCTTTATGAACTATCCGGCTTCTACTTGGATCTCACAAGCTCTGAATTTGAAATCAGAGAGCTGAGTCAGTTGACACTTCAGAAGGGAAATGCCATTGATAAAGAAGTTGGTGTGACCTAAATAAATAAGGTATGGGCTTGAAGCACAGAGCAAGGATAATGCATGGATTTGCTAACTGGTCTTCGATGTTGGATATCACAGCCCTAATTCAAAGGGAAAATACTCCTGTGGAGACAACCCTCAGATTAGTCTAATTTGATTACTTCTTGTTTGCATTATCATCACCTTCCTGAAGAAACTTTAGTTATTAGAAAACCAAACCTCACAGAGATTGGCAAGAAAGAATTTCCCAGGTCAAAAGCATAGCCATAGAATACAAATACCAAGATGGGAGAAAACAAAAGATCTTATCTCGGGCCAATTTCCTTATTAAAGAAATGCCTACTTTGCAATATTAATACATTCAACATTAAGACATTTCAATATTAATATAGTTACATGGCGACCTCATAGTAACAATACAGACCTGTGTTTCCTAGATTCTAAAGCTTCTCAGAGAATATATTGAGTAATCTATGCTTGGGGTCGGGGAGGGACAGTATTGTCAGGCAGGTGGTCACAGGATAAAAGCAAACTTAAAAGAACATCTAATTTTAGCCCCAGTAACCAGAGAAAGCCACGTCCCTTAAAAATCACAAGGAGGGATGCAAAGGAAAATGCTAGCGGGATATTTTTCTGTTTCCTAAAAGGTCCTTTCCCTCTGGTCTAATCCCTGACCAGAAATGCCATCTAATTAACACACTTTCAATTAAGCAAGGACTTTCCAAAATTTAAAAAAAAAAAGTTTTTTGGTGTTTGTTTTTTTTTACCTTTCATAATGTCTGCGGGTGCACGTGGCGGCGCTGGTGCTCCCAGGATTACCGCCTAATTCGTCATAAATGTGTTTCCATTGACGGCGGGCTGTTATCTGAAAGAATGGCAATGGGAAATTCAATCTTGCATCGTAAGAGATTCTCAGTGGCAGGATTCAATACATATGCAACAGTCAGAGGAGAACGGTCTGCTCTGGAAACCCAGAAACAGGGAAGTCCAAATGGGTACATGGGGAGACACAGTTTTATAGTGAGTTCTCACTTTACAATAAAAATGGAATGCTACCTTCGGCTCTGTATTTTGTCACCCTTAGTGTATTTTCATCCAAGGCATCTCCCTTGATACTTATGAAGTTATTTGCCCCCCAAGGTCTCAAACTTGTACTCTGTTCCTTGATGTCATGTGGTACAGCATCAAAAGAAATGAAAATTTTCCTAAAATCTATCTTAGTGCCTCAGTGTAAATGAACAGAATTAGCACAGGTTGCTCGAGGGGCGTGGAAAAGGGTGGCCACGTGAAGCAAACCCTCTCCCCCAAACATGCTTTTGTATCTTCTGACTTCTGAACTCTGTGATATGTTGCCTACTTTAAAAACTAAATAAACTACAACATCAACTAATTAAACTGATCAAGCTGGTGATGGAATTTGCAGTCATTTCGAGCTACATTTTTGTGACAGCTCCTCTAACCGCCAAATCAAAATCTACAACTGTACATGTCGCGCAGGCTGTTTATTTTTATTCACTTAGATTGGGGAAATGGGGTATCAATCAAATCCTATGAAAAGGAACATATTCCAAAGTTAAAAGGCAAGCTATGCACATTTTTGAGTTAGGTGAATTAAAACAAACAGCTTGCGACATACTGAACGGCACGCTATGGTCTTGTTTTATTTATTTATTTTTCTTTCATTCTATTTTCATATGTAAATTAAGATTTTACGAAATAGCAGATGCGTGATCTGGCAGATGATGAATTGCGGGAAACCCCATCATTTGTGACATCCCAGCAAGCCCAGTGTTTCCTTGAACTAGGAAGACAGAACAAGTTCTAAGGCCCCCGTGAAAGTTTCCAAATTAGATCACAGGAAAACTGTGAGTGGAATGTGGAGGACGTGGCAACGGGGCCCTGGCATTTAATACAATCAGAGCAGGAGGCTTCTTGTGAAAAATACCCCCAGAGCTGCCCATGGAGTCCACTTAGGGGCTAAAGACAGTAATCCAGGGGGAAGAACTCTGCACTTGCAACCAGGGGCTTGAAATTGTAATCTTTACGGAGGAGGGCAAGGGCGGTTAAACATTAGAAGGTAAGAGGTATCTTTTCCATTTCAAATCAAGAGAACCCCTTCATTCCTGTAAAGCCTTCTCAACAGGCCCCAGTGGGACCTCGAGACAATGTGAGTTCTGCATTGTTCAATTTCACGTCCATCATTCTTGAACCAATTTGTTCCAATGGTTCTCATTAGAAAGAACCACCTTTACCTCCACTAGCAGGTGTAGCTAAAAATAAACCCTCCTTTATTTGTGGCTTGGTTTCGATTATAATAAATGGTTTCAAGCCCCTTTCAAAACACTCAAAATACATATTTTGGTAGTTATGTTATATTTAATGACAAGCTCCCTCCAGCCTTTTAAAGAATACAATTTCAGGCTGGCCATTGCGAGAATCAGGAAGAAAGAAGGAAGAAGAATCCTCTCTCAGATGAGGTGTGTGGGCCTTGGGAGCCCAGCAGGGCCAGGAAACAGCCTGCATGTGTCCCTGCAATCACTTCACAACAGACCGCCACTCCTGTCACTCTTGGATCTCGTGTACACTGCATTTCATATTTTATAAAGAGATTTCACATCCATAATGTCATTTAATCCTCCCATCAGCCTGTGAGGCGGATTATAGAAGAAAGGGAGATGCAGATGAGAGGTTGCGTGACTTGCCCAAGGGTACACAGCAGCAGAATGGCAAAACCAAGGTTCATACTGATGTCTTATGGTCCCAAAAGCAGACCTTTTCCTGCGACATCAAAGCAGCCTCCACATCAGAATGACCTCCTGAATAGCCCATGGTTGGAGCGGGGTGATAATACAGAACTCCAGGGGCCCTTTGCTTCAAGTGAGGCAGATGACTGTGGGAAGTATAACTTCTGCTACAAGTTCTCAACTTTGACCTAGTGGGCAAAGAGCCTAACTACGAGGTCAGCAAGAACCAAGGGGGTGGGCTAGGTTAATAATGCTCTACAGTGTTACTCTTAAAGAACCCAGTAAAACTATGGTTCCTTCTGCCCTGGCTGCTCCTGCCTCTAGACAGAACAGAGGCTTTACTATGATGGTCACCACAGAGTCACGGATAAGTCCCAATTATATCTGAATCCATCCATGCACACATCCATTCATTCAGCATGTACTGAACATCTCCCATCTGTTGGGCACTGTGCTAGCAGCTGAGATGCAACAATGACAACCAGACCCAACATGACTGCATCCTTGAGGGGGAGGGGACGGGGGGGGGGTGGTGGTGTCAGCAATAAACAATTGACCAAACACCTACACAAAATAATACAGATTGTGGAAAATGTAATGAAGAAGAGACCACTGCTGATAGGGATAATTTTGGAAACTGACCATGTCCCCCTCCCACATCCTACCACCTAGACTAGGGAATGCCCTGTTAAATACTTGCCTATCACAGAGATGACACAACTTCTTTAAGAATAAATAATGAATCTGAATCGTCAAAAGGGAAACAAAAATCTTCCTCCCTCTCAGATTGAAATGTGGCAGCAGGAAGCCAGCATCAAGCTCCCCTTGGTGCTAACGAGCCGTGAGCAGCAGGCCAGGGGTCTGTGTTAGCCCCAAGCCGGCAGGCTCCTGTTTTTAAATAGAGTTTTCACTAGTGAGGACTCATCTGGAGTGAAGACAGCAAGGGCCTGGCCTCCGAGGAAGAGGTCTCTCTGTTTCCCTAGGGCCCACTGGCCAGCCTGGATGAACCGGGCCATTTTGAGACCTTTTCTTTCCACAGGAAAGTCATCAAATGTGCTCTTTCCAACTGCGAAATGCTTTTAAGTGCACAGTTCTCCTAGGTGCCCAACTTTATTTTTGTGTGTCCAGGTGCACTTTTAATACAAATGCTGACCACAGGCTCTAAGGCAAGAAATGTCTGCATCCTCCCATTATCCAAACTTTATAATGGGTCAGACGGCCCTATAAGGAGAGAGGAAAAAACCCGAGAACTCCTCCTGGCCCAGCTACTGGGCATCGTGCTCCCACCTGTCTAAATCTGCCTTCTGTTCTAATATGCCTGCCTCGGGCCTAATTATTCATTTGCTTAGGGTTTTTATTCTGTTGTTCAATGTGCTCTCTGGATGTGTGTTAGCTTTAGACCCTATCTGGGGCAGAACCGCAGTCTGCTTCCTGGTATCCAGCCCCCAGCCCCATTTAGCGGTGAAGTGTGATCTAGCCAAGGGGTTAGTTGGATCAATTTTCCCTAAGCTTCAGGCCTCCTGGTCATGTTCACGTTTCAACCTCACCTTCTATTTATTTTAGATTTTTAAAGATACAACGAACTCCTGGCTCTTTGTTTCCTAAAGAAAATGGCCAAATTCATCCGGCAGTTATTTCTCGTGGATTGTGCTTCTCCTGTCATCTCCTTCAAGGTCCTCACTTTGATAATAGAGGTTCAGGACAGCAACCCATCTGTGCTTCCTGTCTTAGGGCGCTGTGTCAGGTACAGAGGCATGGAGGTGGAGGGTTGAGGGTGGGAAGGCATCATGAACAGAAAGAGATGTTACAGCTTTCAAGGGGTCATAATTCAGCAGGAAGCACAGCGCCATACAAGGAACCATGAAGCAAGATGAAAAGCTGAGCAGACCACACCCAAGGGAAATAAACCAATCTAGGTGTGTGTGAGCCCCAATCAGACTTGGAAGACACTTGACAGTTACTTCTTTCCCGAGTGCGGTAAGACCCAAGAAACTCTGAAAAGCACTCCACACCTTTTATGTTCATGAAGTTTCACTGCCCGTAAGTACAGTGGTTTTCAAACTGCGCTTCAGAACCCAGGCGATGTGGTAAAGGTGGCCCGGAGCTAACTCTTCACCTTGCCCACCCCAGTCAAGAAAACAGGTCCAGTGCGGGGGAAAGGAATGGTCCCTTCCATGATTTTACTTGATGAAAATATCCTGTCACTTAAGAAAAACCGGACAACTGTTTTAACCCAAGACACAGACTTCGAGCCTTGATTTTGCTCCCTTGGAGGTTGCAGGGATGAATAATCTTGGCATGGTTGTGGCCCGGTGAGGAAACAGCAATCAGAGATCTTTTAGGACTCTGGAGTTTCCATGGCTTAAGAATGTGCAGGAAATATGAAGTCAAAAGCAGAGTTTTCCGGCAAGCGGTGCTGCCCAGGCTGCTCTGAGAAATAGCGTCTTTCTCAGGACACCTTGAGGGTGGACTGAATTAAAGAAGGATGACTTTTTTTTCCTGGTAGTACTCCAGGAACTGGAGCCTTTCAAAACTACATGACATCATCTTTGGCCTCAAAAATTTTGAATTAAGCAAGAGGTTTTGTCTGTCCAGAGAACTAGGGTTAGTAGATTGAGAGGATGTCATGAAATGACAGAATTTCTGTCATTTTTGTCACTTACTGTCATCTTTCTTCAAAGTCAGAATCTCATGCCAAAGCCTAATCCTTCCAGCAAGAAGATAAGCAACTCCTTCCAGATGAGAAATAATGGTCCTGTCTCACCCATGGGAAGATGGGGGCTGCTAGCTGACATTCTCCAAAGGCACCACGTGCATGGTCTTCTGCCTCTAGATTTACTTAAGACCCAACTCCCTGCTCTACTACCTTCTTTCCAAATACTGCCTCTGGCATGCCATCAAACGGGTAGCCAAATGGAAATCACTTTAGCAAACCACCTTCAACTCGATGCATCCTGCTAATACCCCAAGCTACCCTGCGAGCTTTAATTGCTTCACCAGAAACTGAAGTGCAGGCCTCTTAGCTCATCAGCAACTTTATCCAGTTCTGCATCCTCAACTGTCAGTACCAAAACTCTAAAATGTGTGGAAGAAGTTGGATATAGGACTGCAAAGGAAGGGTCCTCATTGCCAAACAATCAAAATGCCAGGATATTGTTTTGTGTTTTTTTTTTCCCGGAAATCAAATCCATTCAATATATTTATGATCTCTAAATTTAAGGATGCAGAGACACAATATACATTTCCAGCAAAGGTAGAGGACCCCAAAGAGAACCGAATATAGCCACTAGTCAAATGTTATAAAGGCTTAAAATAAAACTTTTGCTCCTCTTTCTCTTTTAAATTAAATTTGAGGGTCCTGAAATGAAATAATCCATAATCCACAATTCAAACCAGAAGATTTGAAATAGCTTATAACCAACCACAAAGAAAAACAAACCAATTAAGATGGCCTCTTTTTATAACCAGAAGGAATTCCAGAGGGACGGACGTCTTTATCCAATCACAAGTGAAGTGCAGAAGAGATACATTTACAAATTTTAAACTTGAAATTTTTTACTATTGCTGAGTATTTACACCATCCAGACTTCTTGACCCCCATCTCCTGAATTCACACATTTTTCTCAAGAATCAGATAGTTTCAGCAGGTAGCAGTTTATCTGCTAAGGATCTTGTTAGATGCGAAGAGCTGACTGAACTATGCTATCAACAAAGGTAGGTTATTAAACCTTTTTTCCAAGAATCACCCACATTATGTAGAAAGCAATCTGGATACATAAGGGACTGCTGAGAATGGAAGGCTCAAACAATGATCATTTATGAATCTCCTTTAACTTCCAGTGGCTGTGGAGGGTAACATGATTGTGCACAACATTCTCAGCTGTCAGAACTGGGAGAATGCCATGATGATCCCTGCAAATAATTTCACCTCCTTGTACCTCAGTTTCCTCCTTCGTAAAACAAAGGCTGGGGCTGGAACATGGGGAGGATCTTTTCCTACACAAAGGCCAATTTGTGAAAAATAAAAAATGTTAGGGTGCTACACTTTCCCTTATTCAAAATGAAAATAGCTTACTGAGTCCCAATTTAGATGACCATTGACTAAATGGAAAAATACTCATGGGAAAATGTTGGCTTCTTTTGAGTCAACAAAATGTTAACATGTTGGATGTTTATTTAGTAATGACCTGAAGATAGTTTTCTAATCTTCGACATTTGACTTAAATGGGGTCCCATTCTGAAGCTATGACCCATGAGGTGAAGTGTTAATAATCACTGTTACACTTAGCTTTGAATTAACCTCACCTGGACAGCTTAAGAAAAGGGAATCTCAAGTTCTCAGGCTCAGGCCCTACAACAAAGTTTATATTTCAGTGTGGAGGCCTAGACAATGGCTTATACTTTAAAGTTCCCCATTGAAAATTTGAACCCCAGTTGTGGAGTAACCTTTGGGAAGCACTGATCTAGATGATTCTAAGATCTCTTTTGAGCTCTAAATGACAAGTCTATAGTTGTTCTGGTATCAGATAATCTCACAGATGAGTGTCCTTTGGTAGCACTGTGATGACAACTTAAGTCCCCAGGCTTTGGATATTATTCATACAGCTTCTGGACTAACTTCAAAACTGAATTCTCACTGAACGTCTCACAATTTTATTAGCCAAAATATACCAAAAGAAAAACATATTCTTCACTTAGGAGATTCAAAAGCTTAAGTGTGGAATGGGAGTGGCAACCTTAAGTGCCTACATGAGGCATATAAGAAAAAGGGGGGGGGGGGAGAAAGAAAAGAAGGAAGGAAGGGAGAGAGCAAAGGAAGAAAAAAATCCCACCAATTAGCTTCATCTAGTTTATGGCCTCAGATGAAGATTTCATAGAAAGATGGCTATGGAGATTCCCTGCCTGAGGTGAGATGAAAAAATCCGGAGTGTTCTGAAGAATGGGAGGGACCCAATGCACAATGAGGGAGTTGAAGTGTGAATGGAAATGGAAGGGGAAAGAGCCATCGCAGAGATCACCAGTCCTCATGTGGATTTGCTGAAGTGACATGAAACTCATAACCAGATAAAAGGCAGACCCAATCTGGTCTTCTATATCCCTCCATCCTAGCCTCTCTCTACTCCACTCCACCTTCACACACAGTGAAGGCAGAATAAGTGGCAAAGCATAACAGTCTCCAAGGTATCCCCCCTGCTGCTTGATGAAGAACTCTGGGACCTAAGCATCCAAGATCTCTACTCACTGGGTTCCATCCTTCTCTCATGGTCATTCATCCTGGCCAGCTAGTCACTCATCTTTAGGTGACTTAAACTCTCTATGCCCAACCTTATTCTACCTCCATGTTTTATTTCCCCATTTGATTTTCTCTTCCTGGAAGGCCATGATCTGTCATGTCTAAATTCCATCTATTCTCCAAAATTCTGCTCAACTGTCATCAGAGTAATAAGTCTTCCTTCCCTCATCTCTAAATGAGGAGGTGCAGGATCTTTCTACCTTATCTCTTATTGCCACCTCTTGTGGATGGTAAGCAACTAGAACTACTGGCCTAGATATGTTTGCATCTCCCAGAATGCCCAACACAATGCCTTGTACACAAAAGACACTCAATAGATGCAGGGTAGGGCAAAAGTAGTTTTACAGTATGTGAAACAGAGTTTATTCTTGTGCTATTATTTATTAATTACTGTATTATTTTCCACATGAACAACTCTAAACCTACTTTTGCCCCACCCTGTATGTGTTTAGGTGATTTTCTAATTGTGTGATCATTCAATCATTCATTCATTCATCCAACAAAAGAATAAGTACTACTTGTTCAAAGAGTACTGCAAATGCCCTGAAACTTAGCAGAAGTTTCTTTTGTATATTCGACACCAATTTGCAGTTTCATGGGAAAAAAAGTCCTTGTGAAGATACAGAAGATACAAAAGCAGGAAAAACTGATTCTGTGAAATTTGCTAGCACTCTCCTTATCAGTGAATAACAACAAGTTCCTGGATTTAAAAAGACATTTCATAATATTGTGCAATATCATGTAACTTATCTGTAGTCACAGTTCATAAAAATGTATACTCCTATTCTTAACACGAAAAGTTAGACTTAAAAGTCTAGGCTATGGGGTCGATTCCTAAATTTATGAGACTAACCCTGAATAAGATATCATCTTTTTCACATAGATGAGAGCTATAATTAGCTCAAGATTTTGCAAAACTATGAGTCACAGTGGCAAAGAGTCCATCCTTTGTTCCCTCAACAGATCCAACCAAGTGAAAAAATAACACTGTTTATTTTTACATAGGGCACTTGATAAAACAAGTATTTTAAGTAAATTCATGTCTATGAAATGCACATTTTACATGTAGTTCATATCAGTATTATGTTTCCTCACAAACATATACGTGTAGCCCATATATTAACTAAACATATTACATGCACACCTACTCAAAGAGTTTTTAGTCAGAATTCACAGCAGATATCTCTGTAGTAAATACCAGACTATCTGAATCATATGTTTGCCATCTTTTCCCGTCCCCAGCTCCTGACATCCAACTATTCAGTTAGTTTGTGGAACAATATGCTGTATCTGGCCAGAAACACTAGTTATTATGTTTGGGCTAAAATGAATTTCATTTTCTTGATTTTGTGTCTCTTACTGTCTTTTTACTATGATACAGAGATATCCCAGGTTACTTCGTAAGGGAAGAAACAACAATTTCTTATTCAATTGCAGAAGAAACTGCACAACTTAATCTGATCATTGTGTGGAGGAGAAAATATTTCCAATGACGACATGTTCCTATGTCAACTGATTTTATTACAGATGTCATCTCTGTGTGCTATATTAATGCAGCTCTTTCTTCTTCCTTCAAGATTTTAATCTTAGTTTGCTGCTCTAACATTTTATTGGTTCAAAATACAAGCTATAAAAATCCGTGGCCATCAAATTGTCCCGTGAGCTAAAAATAACCCGTTCCTGTCAGTTAGAATTAGCTGATAAAGAGTGTCAGAGCCTGTTCTGAATAAGTCTGATAACTTCCTGTTTATGCGGCACTGACCCTTGTCTAATAAAGCCGCTCTGCCCCAGAATGAGAGGAGATTTGCTGCATTTTATTCCTTAATGGCCAATACTGATTACTTCTGAAAGCCTTTAATACATTTCCCATATTAGACATGAGCAGATGTCAGGTATGTTGCCAAGGGAAATTTCTTTTATGCAATCTTGGCTTGTTGTACAATAATAGCCCTTTCTCAACATGGGAAAAAATTACAGACCCAACTAATTTCCCTGACAGGGGAGAGTTACATATGTTTTCCACTTGTAGCTTTTACGACAAGTTTACAATTTTGCCAAACCTGGAACTAATTGGGACTGTTTCCAAAAGCGGCCCAATAAACCCCCAAAAGTGTAGAGCCATTGGAAAAGGCAGTCAGTGATGGTCTGCTTTCGTATTGTCTCTATTTTGGTCAAAGGGGGGGAGGGGAGGGGTTTAGATTGCAAAATTATTTCATTTAAGTTGCTTAAACACTTACTGTTTCATATCCTCCCAGTTTTTGAGCAGCTTGAAACATAGTCCAAAGGTTAACTGTTAGAGGGACAATAAGTATTTAGATAAGCATTGCATTAACATATTTCCAAGAAATGTCAATTAAAACATTTTTGTTTTGTTTTGTTTTTCAATGAGAAAGAGAAAAAAAAAAAGAAAGACAAGAAATACTAACATACCCCAGAGATCTAAGTTCTTAGGAAACAATTTGCCAAAGGGCACTCAATAACAGGATATATTATTACCACTTAAAATATTTCTAAAGAACAGTCACAAATTCGGAAATGGTTCTACTTTTAGGATAAAGGACAACACAGTTTGCGTCCTGTTGCCATCAGCAGAAGGAGAGGAGCTAAGTTACAGTGTCCTTGGGGGAACTGTGGGATTTTTCCAGTTTGGGGCTGGTCTGGTTCAACCCTTCGAAAGAAGCCATTGGGTAATAATATATGCTTCCTTCAGATAAAATCTCTTCATAATCAATCAATAACAGCTAAGTTAATATATGATTATCTTTTTAATAGAATGCCTGATGGCAGCACTATATAAAAAACTCATACTGTATTTCACTAACATGTGGTGCCTTGCAGTGAGCAGGAAAAATATTTCACCCTTGAGGCACCAGTGATACAACAGATCAAAGGGAAGGAAGATACTCCATCACCGAGGAAATGAGCCCACTTAGTCCCCTAACTCGCCTGTATGGTATTGCAAAAATACTTCTTTTAAACAGATTTCTCTTTCCAGGGTTTGCATATGTTTATGTTGTTAAACAACGATGTCAAATCGCTAGCAACCCTGTTCACTTGTACCAAATACTGGGGCTGCTATGGATTTGATTCTTTTACAAGAGGGGAAAATTGGACTTCAAGTAATTCCTTGGTAAGAGAAATAAAAAAACAAAATAAAATCAATTTTAAAAGGCTCTTTGACACAACACGTTCAAGAAGCCTCATTGAACCTTGCACTGTTTCAAAGCTATCAAGAGCCCTGCCTCGGCCTTGATTTAATCTGAACCAATGCATAATGCAACAAAGCTGTTCATAGTACATTAATTTTACTTCTATTTCCAGCAACCAGTTTTCAGACAAACATTGTAATCATTCGTAGTTATATAAGTTTATAATGGCTGCGAGGGTTCTCTTGCAATCAGTGCCAGTTGCTATTAGGTATGTAAATTGTTATGTAAAACATGCAGGTTTGACATTCTTCATCAAAATGACACATGGTTTTAATCTAGGAAGATACGTTGGGAGAAAATACTGTATCAAGCCAGAGGCTCACGCTTCATGTGCCACAAAATCCAGACAGAGGCCAAATATATATTCATTTGTGAAATCAAGGCGGGGTCTGGGTTTCTTCTATTTTTTTATATGGAACTCTGCTCAGCTGTGAGTTCCCTAATCTGCATAAAAATATACTGAGGCCGGTTAAACGGACATGTCAAAGTAATTCAAAATTGGGTCCTCGGTTCAAATTTGTTTACTTCTTGTTTCCTCTGAAGTCATCAGGTTTTTGTTATCTCTTAACAAATCTGGGGCTTAGGAAATATGCTTTCTCTTTGTTGTTGTTTTGTCCACCTCTAAATGTCCTCCTTTTAAAAGCCGTCTTTTCACAGGCAACATCTGTGTCTGATAAAGCTACGTCATGTTATTATCTCAGAAGAAAGGCGTTGCAAACACTCAAGATTGACAAAACAGAAAATGAGAAACTTTCAACATGTCTATTTCCAGTCATAATCAGTGGATTCAAGCCTATAAATATCTCACTGCAACTGCCCCAGAAGGGAACAATGTAGCGGAAAAAGGAAGGGAAAAAAATTCCTGGCTTGGATGATTTGTAGATTTAGTATAAACAGAGAACATCATCATCCCCAGATTAGGATTTCAACATAATCCTGAGTCAAAAATATTTTTTTCCAAGTCAAAGAATCTGAGCAGTTTTCATATTTCAAAAATGAAAACGAGTATACTTACTCTGTTTAAAACCTAAATAGGGTATTCGTTCTATTGGCGTCTTCCTTTCTTTCATGTATTTATAAAGTGCCACCAGGAAGGCCTGCTCGTCTGCCCTGCACTCTTCACCAATGGCAACCTTTGGTTTTTCTTCATTGGAGACTTTTTTACAGTTATTATGGTTATTCTTCGGCTTGGTCAAGGCAGACCTGGCCTCGCATTTCACCTGGAAGAGGGGGGAAAATGCCACAACAAATCAAGCGCAGCCCCGGACCGTTTACAAAGCCGTAGCGAGTGACACATTTCACTGGGTGGGAAGGGTGAACCAATAAATTGCCCTTGCCCTCAAATAGCTTTTTAGAGGCATCACTGAATAAGAATTGTCTTCGACCAGGGGATGGTGAGTTTCTGTCAAGCCAAGTAGTAAATATTGTAGACTTTGGGCCATCACAGCCTCTGTTGAGACTGCTCAACTCTAGTGTGAAAGCAGTCATAGGCAGTATGTAAACAAATGGGTGTGGCTGTGTCCCAATAAAACTGTATTTATAGAAACAGGTGGCCAGTTTTTTCCAGCCTCTTTTAGACTCCTTCCAAGTATGTTGATGTGAAACCAGAAACAGTGTTGGCATCTGGTGGAGCCATTCTCCTGCCTCCTCATATACTTTTCCTAAGGAGCACCATCTGTGAATGTCATTGAACAATCCCTAACTTCTTCACCCAGAGTTCTCACACTTTGTATCACAATGAAAGACAAGTCATTCTCTTCATAGGAAACTTATCTTGTTGCTACTCTTTCCAGCAACCTGGGAAGACACATGGATGCCAGCAGACACTGGCATCAGGAACATCAGCCGGTTCTACCCTCGGGAGGAAAGGAAAGATCCCACTCTTTAATGAGGGCTTCTTGCTTTTCAGTCGGCTCTGAGACTATAGGAAATAGGAAATGTGAACTTGCCACAAAGAGTAGAGGTCACCTGGAAATGTGAACTTGCTCCATAATGAACAAATAAATGGCGGTGAATGCTCCAGATGTTCTGCCTTCCATACTCTAAGCGAATATGGGCCTTGGCACACCGAGAGGCTAACCTAATGTTCCCTCCTCACTGCCATGCTCTACAAGAGGCCTTTGATGGCTGTTAAATATAATGCTAAGTTGCCGAGCTATTTTAATTGTAAAAGGGGGAAGTACAAAGGGTCAAACTTTAAGTTCAAGTGCGCCCGTGGGGAATGTGTACATTCCAATATTCTTTACATCTCCATATCTAACATCGAAGAGAAGAGGGCAAGGGCTGGGGGAATGATATGAATAAAAATGTCCCACTAACTCAACAACGTTTTCCATTTCAGATTTTTGACCTCTCTCTTTTTTCCCCCTTCAGATTCTCCTTTCCAAGCACTAAGAACATAAAAGGCTATGCTTATTTATTAAAGGGAAGTGTATCCTTTTAAAAGGTTTTCTTTATGGCTTAGTCTCTCAAGTGAACACGGTAGTTTAATATCTTCAGACGGGTCCTGCTAAAAATAAAACTTCCTGCACAACTCATTCAACTGAGCTTCTAGATAAGATTTTAATTTTTAAGGGCCTGTGGAAATGGTATTAAAAATTTTTCCATGGAGAATTTTTACTTAACAGTATTTTCAAACTTCAGTACATTGTAACATTATATATTAAGGGAAACATCCAGTGAAACTTTATGTGATCATCATTTTTTCACTGCCAAATTTTAGATTGTTGAGTCTAAAGTTCTGATGAAATCTATCATTCCAGGGCTTTTTGAAATCATAAAGTTACTCCCATTTTAATCTGTGCTGGTCCCAACCTTTTTTGAGTGGCTACTAGAAACCAGGCTCTTCTAAGCACTTTTTAGGTATTATCTCAATTTTTAAAAAAAATAAGTTTTTTATGATTTCAAAGAGGGATGAAGAGGGAGAGAGAGATAGAAACATCAATGATGAGAGAGAATCATTGATCAGCTGCCTCCTGCACGCCCCCAACGGGGGATCAAACCTGCAACCCCGGGCATGTGCTCTTGACCAGAATCAAACCCAGGACCCTTCAGTCTGCAGGCTGATGCTCTACCCATTGAGCCAAACCGGCCAGGGCGATATTCTCTCATTTCATGCCCACAGCTCTAAGGAGGTGAATTATTATTCTCATCTTAGAGGAAACTGAGGTACAGAGAGAATGAATGACACGTACACAATCACAAGATCACGTCCCGGTTAGTAAGTGGCAAGTGTGGGATTGGAACCCAGGTAGTCTCAACTCTAGGGCTTGCGATTTTAAACACTATACTACTTCACTGACACTCTTATACAAATATTAAATTGGCAATAAGAACATGCTTCCAATGAAAAAGCACATCTTAATGAGTAGGTTTTACAAAACCTACAGCTTAGAAAGGTGGTTTATCAACTGAGCACCTACAATGCGCCAGAGACAGTGCTGGGCTGCATACAGTCTACCTAACGTACACAAGACCATAAAAGGCTAGTATTTGGCCCCACCTTACAGAGGAGGAAACTGGAGCTCAGCTAGGTCCTGTATTGTTGTTTGGCTAGCGAGGGGCAGGCTTCTGGGGTTAGAAGTCTCCCTCACTCTAAACTCCAGTCTTATACAAATAAGAGTAGATATAAGGTTTGCATATAAAACAGTCTGAGCCTTCAACCTGTAGTGACAATGGGCCACTTTTCTATATTATTAGGTCAGAAATGGCATTGTTAAGGGAGAAAGAGGTTTATCCCTCAGTGTCTAGATAGCTGCCTAACCTTCTGCCTCACCTGTGCAGAGACACCCAGAAACAGAAGGAAAGCAGGGAGGGGCGCACAAATCAGGCCCAATGCCATTCAGACTCCCTGCTTCACGGAAAAGGCTCCAGGTGAAGCAGCTGCCACCTCCTGAACTCCATCCTGCACCTCAGTTGGTGTCTTCCCAGTTGGGGTCTCCTTGGGAACCAGGTGCTTCCTAAGAAGTGAACAGCGGCTTCCTCTCTCAGACTAGCTCCATACATTTCTTCAGTTAATATAAATGAGCCCTTGAGGGCATTATTCTGTTTCTGGATAGAAACAGGCCAAGTCCTTTTGCACTTTTTTCACATTTACCCAAAACATTCTGAGCATTTTAATCCACCGAAATATTAAAAGAGAGCTAGTCCTCGTGTTGACCTTGAGAAAGCCCACCCTTTTGATGGTAACACTTAATTACCAGCTCTGTTTCTCCCGACCTGGACGTCTAATACTTGTTGAGCTCACTAAGAGCTTTGGGGTTTCCAAAGTGCTTGAGGAAGTGCTAAGTAAAGAATCGACATTTACTGTTTTCAATGAGCCACCACCGATTTGATATTAACCACATCCTTTTGCTGGATGGAGTTATAACTAATCCAGCTTTTAACTGGGACAGCGAGATGTGCTGAACCAGCAGGAAAGAAGCTGGAGTTATTTCAATTCAGTCACTAACGTGCTAGGATACCCTCATTTTCTTCCTCGGGAAACCGGGAGGGGATAAACTGTGGAGGTAGTTCTGAGAACCAAAGGGGATGAAAAAATATGGAAAATAATGAACGTGTCCTATTTGTAAAATGTTGAAAGTATGTTTGTGATGTAAATGAAAGGAGACATTGCTTCCTTTTTATGTCCCTTTAAGGCTATAAACCACCTGTTATACACGTCTGGCCTTTGGAAAGTGCTTATAGGATGTGAAGTCATTTGCCTTCTATCAGTGGAGGCCTTTCATTAGAGCTCTGGGCTGAGACTTCTCCTGTGTAGGTCACCATATGAACTGGCTCGGGCCCCAAATCTGCTGCTGTAAGATGATCCCAAGGGAAACAGCAGTACTTGAGCTGGACACCTTCATGACATCTCCAGAGAAGTGGAACCTTTTCCCACGTGACTTTTGCTATCTTTGGGAAGCCGTGATCTTCTCAGAGTCTTGTAAAGCTAGTGTTCATGTTCACATTGAGAGAGTGCAACCTTTGATGGAGACAAGTAGATGACTTGACTTGTTTTTCCAGCCATGCACCCAAGAAACCCAGTGGATTTTCACGCTGAGCGCGCTGCCAGGTGGAGCTGCAGAAAGCCGTAGTTAGAAATGGTCTATTTGAGAAACTTTTGGGAGGAAAAAGTCACACAGCTCTTGGTCATAAAGCCAAACTAACCGTCACCTGAAATGATGCTCCCAGCTCAGCAAAGGATCGATGGTCACAGGTTTGTAATCTCTACGGTAGCATTTCATGAGAAAAGACCACTTGATGACACAGATGCCTTTTTAATGGTAGTCCTGGCCCAGATGTGGCTTGTTCATTCTGTAGGGATTTTATATCGGTCTTGTTGGTGCCATCAAATAAGCCCACCATCCTTCACACCTACCAGTCTCTCTTCTATATGAAGAGTTCTTGCCTGACCCACTGGAATAGCAGGACTATAATCCAAGACTCCAAGAAGAGTTGGACATTTAGACCAGTCCCCAGGAGCTGGCTGCAGTGGGATATCCATACATTCACCATCGAAACCAACGATGGAAGGATAATCCTCCTCCAGGTAAAAATTCTGAAAGGCTGCACTGGTGGGAGGTGGGGTAGAAATGGCTTGAAGACCATCATTCCTACGAAGGATAAGTCAGTGAACATCAAATACAGAGCAGGCTCCTGTTCTCTTTAATTTTGTGGGTCTTCGTGTGAGTCCTGAGCTGCCTTTCCAGGGAGAGAGATGTTGTAGGGTTGTGATTTCAGGTCAGTTGTATGAGTTTTATAAAACTCCCAGAGGCATCCGTTGGTAGTGACTCCAAGTGACATGAGAGGGAGCTTCATCCCACTGGGCTCAGGTATAGGAAATGCCGGGATAAACACATGATGTCATCTTAGAAGTACGGGGCAGGGAGCCAACACAAGACATCAGCAGTACAAGCTCTGCTGAATGTTACAATCTTAAAGCCTTCTCACTCCATTCTTTATTGTATTGCAAACCACATCATAGGGAATAAACTGTTCCGGCTGACATCCTCGAAGACCATGGAAACCAAAGCCCTAGATAGGCAGCTCCAGGGGCGAAGAGTCCAAATTATTAGAAAATGTCATACTTGGTATTCAGGTGGACTCACTTGCAGGTGGTTAAATGAACAGAACAAAAAAATAACTTTAGGGAAAGAAGTTTGTTGTTGTGGTTTTAGCCAGAAAATATACATTTCTCCTGGTTGATCTCTTTGTAACACTTTGCAATCCTGGAAGCATGAAGAAATGATAACAAAGCAGCCTCAGAAATGCCCCATGAAGATAAGATTTACAGAATGTGAATGTTGAGGATTTGTTTCCTTACACTGGGAGGAGGCGTGGAGTACGTGGCAGGAAAACAGTAGATTTTCAACATAGAACTGAATTCATGTTTTTCTACATCAGAATCTTTCAAGTCGCCAATAATCAAAATGTTCCCACTTCCATAAGCTTAGTCCTTAAATCTGGAAATGTGGTATCAGTTGATATCCAGTCTTCAATTCAGATCCTAAAGGGACTATTGCTGCCTTTGGCACAGAAACAACACCTAAATGCAAACACCCCATAAACAGAACCGTAGAAATCTGATCCAAACTCACTAAAGTAAAAAAGACAGGTCTGAAAATATGAAGTGGCACTTCACACTTCCTGGTGCTAAATACTTCAGGCTCACACTTTTAAAATTCCTAAGAATGCCGGGGCAAAAATGGGCCTGGGTCCTCAACAAGTAGCCTTGAACTTGGACCTTTATTCTGCATTAAGATATACTGATCTTGTGATATAGAAACCCACACCTGAAACCTATATGATCATGTTGACCAATGTCACCCCAATAAATTTAATTAAAAAAGAGAGATCTTAAAAAACATATAAATGTATGGATGAGTATATGTATACATGTAAACATTTTGCTATGTGTCTTTAATTTTACTCTAAGGTAAGTTAGAGGTGATTTTGAAATAAAAATATGGAACTAAAACGATTAATTCTAGCCATTTCTAATTTCATCCTCCATTAATCTCTGCAGCAGATTTAGCTGAACACATTCAGAAAAAGGATGGTTCAGCTGGTCTATTTTTGATACAAGCCGAGTAAACTATGTCATTGTGTCACCTACTATGAAATCTCAGCCTCAATGACGTGGGCGCTTAATCATCTGTCCTTCACCCAACAGGCCAAACTGGGAGGTGGGAAGTCTTTCTGTTGACTAATCAAAATGCTTACCTCCCTCCCCCACCCTCCACCTCCCAAGGCAAGAGAGGTGGTGAGAATAGACATAGCAGAGAGCTGTGAATACCAAAGTTAGATCTGGAATTGCCAACTGCCACGAAGACACACAGAGTAGAGAGATAAAGAGAAAGAGGAAAATAAAACTATGCAGCAAAATGAATACCACGGCGCAAACAACTGTACCTTGACAATGGCTTTGCCATCCGAATTGTTGTTGGGATCTTTCACAGCACTGAATGAATCTCTTCTCTGTGGGCATGATTTCTTTTTGCGTGGTCTGCCTTTAAGATTCGGCGCTGAAAACAAATGGAGAGCAATTGATATACATTTTCATTGGCATGGATTTCCTTAGTCAAAACCCAGCATCTGACTCCAGTGGTCCCCATCACGTGTGCAGACACATGTACGCATCTGTGGTAGCCAGCCCTCATTTAATGCTTCTCTCCCTGAAGGGCTGCACCTTGGAAGACCATGCACGTCTGCACTTCTTTCCCAAAGCTAATCTATTACACTGTCACATGTCTAATTAATATAAATAAAATGAAGCCTTCAGCTCTAAAGGATGATGAAAGGAAAATGCCTTTCCCCATTGTTAGAAAAGAAACAGGTTGGGCGGACGACAGCCCTGAGCCAGGCTCCAAGATTATTCTTTGTTTTGTTTTGCCTCTTTTTCAGAAACCTAAGTGATATGCCAGCCCATGACAGTATCACAGTAATATTATGTTTAAAAACATCTCTCTTCAAATATGGAGACATGAGCATTTTCTCAAGTTATACATATAAGTAGAGAGAAAGAGAAGGCTACAGAGAGAGGTATTTGCAATAACAATCTGAAAAAAAATCATTACATGTATTTACTAATAATATTGAGACCAGCCTGTTTCAAATCTGAACCAATCTGGCAGATACATGTAACCCAGCATGCTCTTTTTTCCTTCTCAGTATATTTTTTAATGACCATCTTGAGGGTTATTTAAAATAACTTCCAAAGATCACACTGGGGTTAGCCAGATTCCGTGGAGATTATTTATACTTTCTAAAAGCCACAGACAAGATGCAAATCAAAGTTATATTTCAACCTTGATGTTGAGCTTGAATCTCTTTAAGATCCACACAGAAAGCAGAGGAATAAAGGCTGCTGTTTACTGAGAACTAGGGCTGTCCGGCATCAGCTTTCACATTTAACTTCATCAGTCACCCAAGTCGAACAAAAGTAAAACAAACCAACTAGCCAGCTAGCCCTTGGAGAATTTCAAACGAATGAATTATACCCCAAGCAATTCCTTTCAGACCTTCCCAGGTAGGTACCCACACTCTTGATGATTGTGACAATGCCAAATCCGGACAGTTCGAAACCTCTTAATTGCCATGCAGTTAACCAGTGGTTTCAGGACATTTTATATTGTACTCATTTTACAAACACAGTTAATCCCACTAATTTGATTTCATGCTATGGATGACAGTTGGCTATTCCTAAAAACCCGTAAATAGAGCTGCCTTTACAATCAGGCAAAAGTTTTAAAAAGTGGCTTTGGAGCTCCGGCTCAGACCCCCCTCCTCCCAAATCCCCTCTCCCTTCTCTCATTTCCCCAAAACGTTTGTCTGAAAGTACAAACCATCTCCCCTCCTCACCCCCGCAAGCCAGCCTGGAATTACAGAAGGTAAACAAGCCCACAAACACAAATCAAGCAAAGAGAAAGTAGCGATTACCCATTCCAGTCGACAAACATCTGCCTGAGGATGCCTGGGCTCCCGAAAGCTACAGCATATGCCTGACTGCTCCCGGGCCACGTCCCTGGAAGTCTGGACTTGACTTGGTGTGGATGTCATGTCAGCTTCCCTCCGAATGAGAGCTGCGAGGCTCCGCGCTGGGCTTACTACACCCCTCCCCCGGCAGCTTCATTACTCATGTAAACACACAGCAGTGACTAGCACCGAGTGTGTGGGATGAGCGCTGAGGACTCTGCTGGAGTTGCCAGACTGGCAGAGAGGGCTAAGCTCTCTCCACCTCCCTGCACGGGATGGTGACTTCATCTGGCCTGTTCTGTGGATCCTGACCTCCCGCCCCCCTGTGGGAGCGTGAGGCCACCTTCCAGGGCTGACAGGGTCCTCAGCCTGGAGCCAGGGTGTGGACTCTGGGTTGGAAGACTTGTAGCACAGACGTGTAGCCACAACTGCCCCGAGGGCTCAGCTTTAATGATCGCTGGGGAAGGACTGTACTTTCAAGTCCCCGTATCAAAATAATAGCAGAGCAGAAAGCTGACGAACAAACTTGGGGTAGATGTGAGGCATTTCATTGAAAGAAAACAAAACAAAGTCGCCTCTGTTCTAACACTTGTTACTGTGATCTTTCCTTCCTAACATTTTGGCAAAAAAAAAAAAAAAAAAGCATTTGAACCTAAAAGGCATTCATTTCCAGAAAAGCTTTCAAATCCCAAAGGCCTTTTGAGATAGAGAGAACTTGCATTGAACAGGCTGTTTTAAATAAAGACAAAGGTTCCGGGAACTGACAATAAGTCATCCCCAAATCGGGTCTGTTTTCTCCATTCTTTGAGCTGTTTTCAGAACCGGAGAAGCACATGTCCTTCCCCAGCAGATTCTGAGAATTACAAATTTAGAACACACGGGCACCTAATATTCTGGTCACACAAACTTCAAACTCTACATGGGATTTGGTCAAGAGAAAAAAGCCTCTTGTTCCTCAGAAGGCAAGTACACTGATATTTCAGGTATGTTGGCTAAATCCCACCAATCACTCAAGTCTCAAACTCAAATTCCTCTTTGAGCCTGCCCTCTGGACTCCTTTTCTGACCTTCTCTTATGCTGGGTATCACTTTCCACGTTATTCTTTGTACTTTAGCTGTGTTTTATGGCTTCTTCTTATACTACATTGAGAGTCCTTAGGACAGGACCAGGTCAGACTCCTCTCTCATCTGCCCCTGCAGACATCCAGGAGGCGGCATTGCATAATATGAATTTGTTGAATGAATGAGGGACTAATGGAAATAGAGATAGATGCCCATATATCTCCTCTTTGTCTTCATGAGCTGGGCCTGCTCACCTGACCACGTGTATACCCGTCACCCTGGGCACCTGTAAAACTGTGTTCACCTTTAGTACTGACCCTTGAGCTCTGGGGACATAAACCAGCAATTTGAGTTTGCTGTGGGAATTGAGACAGAAATCCTGCAGCCTTTAGTTCCCCATTACTGTTAAGCCGAAATGCCTGGCCTCCTGCGGGGGCCAGAATCTTGTCCCACATGCAGTGAGCAAATGCCCCGAGGAGCAGATGATTAAAATCCAAGCTCCCATAGTGCAGTTCGAGACCTTTTAGATCCATAGAACCCAAGTGATGCTTTGAGACTGGGAGGCTGGCTTTTGGGGAGACCAAAATTTTTAGCCTCTAAGTTACATTTATTTTCCTCCAGGGTCAAGAAAAGAAATCACTTGCTAGATAAACGAATAAAAATAAGTGCTTTATGGTTTAATAGTAGTCAGGGGTCAGGGGGAGAAAACAGCCCCACCTGGTCCCAGCTGCCCTGGACCAACTTAAGCCCCATCAACAGCTAAGGGCTACATACCTACTGAGAGAACCTAAATCCTAGACTCCAGAGTAACACCAGCTCCAGTACTTTAGAGGAGACCAGCAAAGCCATTCTGGGAAGCCGGCAGTACACTTGCCAATAGCATAACTGGCTGGAACAATGAATGCACAAGTTACTTTTCCATGTGTATCTAATCCACTAGCCATCCCTGGCCTGGCTCACTCACACAGTTCAGGCAATGCTCTTTGCATGATTGTTTTTAATATCATACATTAACAATAATAAGAGCTGATCCTACGGACCATGCACTTTCTCTGTACCAGCCAGAACTTTGCATACAGTAACTCATCTACAACTCACAGCAAACCCACAGAAAGTGCGATTATGAATCCCATTTTACAGACCTGGAAACTGAGCTAGCGTTGAAATGACTTGTTTTAGGTTATCCAGTGGGTTTCTGGTAACAGGAGGATTCCAGCCCAGGCACCTGGACTTTATCCAGAGCCTCTGCTTTTAGTTATTCTCTCTAATAGATGGACACACACACTCACTCTGTCTCACCATGAGGTATTTATATTAATAACTTGGGTTGGTAGTCACCAGGGAGTGAAAACACTCCCTAATGCCACAGATCGGCCCGTCTCAAGCAACAAACAGCACCCTACAGACCTGACAACAAGCAGGGACCCCACCGGTGGGTCCTGACTCAGCAGTAGGTGACAAAACTTCCACCAAAGTCACAGAGTTCTAATAAAACTGAGAGAGCCATGCCCATGGCCCCTTGCAGAGGCCCGCTGACTCTCCTGCCCAATCCCTGAAAGATCTCTGTGGCTATTTTAAAAAACCTTTCCTCTATGACTGCCCATCTGTTCCTCTTCCTCAGTGCCACGAAATTAACACGTATTCACCTTTGGGAAGTCACTGCTATTTCTATAGGTGTTAATCCCAGGAGAATCAGCGACCACCGGGGGCTCCAAGCTACTTTGACATCTAACCCTGGTCTTATGTTTTGTTATTTTCCTTTTTTTTAACTCCTTCACATATTAAAGACTTATAGTCTCTTTTTAAAAAGACAATATAGAAAAACAAGTTTTGGGGTGTGTTTTTTTCCTTAGCGTCTAGAACTGAGTCCCAGTCATTCACTTCTATATTTGCTTTACAATGGGTTCTGACAAGTTCTGTGTCAGCGCAGGTGTGGGAAACTTTCATCTCAACCCCAACTCCTGCAATAATAATAATAAAACAAAAGGAAATGTAACCAGTTACTGGCAAAGTAAATTGCTTTTGGCTTCAGTGTTCCTGTTTTTTTTTTAAACTGTGTTCTTCCTGTCATGACCGTCTATTTTTTTAAATAACATTTATGCTCTTGGAAATACCACGAAGATAAACTACTATAAAAGCTGGATTGACTCATCAGTTAACAACTCTCTCTCCTCATTTTGCAGAGAGGATTTTGTTGCCAACACAGCTACATATTCTCTCGAGAAATTCTTTGTGAGCTTCCACTCAGAGAAAGGACATGCTTGTTGGTGGGGATTGGAATTAGGAGAATGGAAAAGCAGGCATCATTTTCCTAAGAGTTTGACCCCCAGGGTCAATGTCTAGAGGAAGTCGGCAGAGCGTTAACTCATTTGATTTGCCTGGTGTGTGTGTGTGTGTGTGTGTGTGTGTGTGTGTGTGTGTGTGTGTGTGTTAAACACTAAGCACAAGCCAGAAAACTAAACTCCACGGATTTGAAGTATTAGGGACTG